GGAACAGAAGTTTGAAAGCCAGTGTCCTGTCCTTCTGTGTTTAAGAGCCAATTCCTCTTGTTTTGGGAACCTAGCTGCTGGCTTTTTCCACAGGGGCCTCTGAAAGGACAGGGTGACGAGCAGACCAGTGCCCTAAGCAGCAGGCACTTCGAATGTGCGGGTCTGTGGAGCCCCAGAGGACTTTGGGAGCCGTGAGCTGCTCAGGCCGTATGCAAAATTCCGGGGGATGTGTGATCCGGGGAGGAGAGGGCCAGGAGCTCTTCGCAGATTTCCCAAGGGTTCCATGTCCCCCAGTATCTGAATGGCTATTAAAACAAATTATCATCATTGGAGAAACCACCGCTGACTGAGTGCTGACCATGTGCTATGGAGAAGCGGGGTGATGAGGTCACCTACCGCAAAGGGCTGTTGGGAGGATGAACTAAGAGGTTATTTGTGAAGCACTTAGGATGGCACCTGGCACACAGCAAACACTGTTTGGCTTTATGGCTTATTTTCATCATCATTACTGTCATCCGTCGTTATCACTTTGACTGCCTCATTAGTCCTCACAAAAACTTGATGAGGTTCGTATTATTATCAACCCCACTTTATAGAACAGGAAACAGAGGCTTCAAGAGGTTAAATAATTAGCTCAAGGCCACAGAAGAGCAGAGAAGGAACTCGAAGTTGGCCCGTCTGGTTCCCAAGCCCAGGCAGGCCCTCGGTTTAGAAGGGCTGAGGGAAGTAGGCAGGACTCCCTGAGGGCCCAGGAGGAGGTGGGCAGGCAGGTGGGAAGCACTGAGAGGTCCCAGATGACCCCAGGCCAGAGCAGAAAACAGGCCAGGGCTTTCCACTGAAAGCGCCTGAAAGGACAGGCAGCCTTCCTAACTTTGCACCTCTTCTAATCGACAACGCAAAGCCAAACCACTTAAAATAGTAAGGATGAAAAAAGAAAACCACCCCCTGCTGCTCCTTTCCTAGGCTCCAAAGTGAGCCAGCGTCTTGGAGTACAGTGGGTTCAAGGCGCAAGGCAGTGGCAGCCCCAGCGTCCGCTGGCTGTGCTCCAAGCAATGTTTCTCCTTCCAAACACACACGTAACCCTGCTGAACACACCACTTGAAAGCCAAAAAGATGCCCCACGGGTTGCCCTGGCAATGCTAAACAGACGAAACATTTTAACCAGCTCTGACGCACATACACAAACCTATTTAAGGGCCAAATGGATGGGGGGTGAGGAGGTGGGGGGAATGTTGTTTCTACAGCTCCATCTCCGATGATTTGGCCCCCAAAGCATCTATGTCAGACTGAAACAGAGCAAAGCACTCCTTCAACACAAGCTGAGACCAGGCTTGCTCGGGAAAGGGAAGCCACTGCCATGCTTCTGCATTTCGGCTGCAGGCACAGTCCTGTTTTACGAGAGCCACGAGAGGATCACAGGAGATGCCGAATGTCCTGGCTCTGCCTCTCCCTGGGGACAGCCCTCCAGCTGCCGGCACCAGTGTCTCTTGATACGCTGGCCTACAGCAGGGTCGGGAGGGTCGAGTGTGCCCATGAGAGTGAACGGCCTGTGAGTGCTGATATTAACAATATTAACCACCATTTCTCACATCCCACGGTTCAACTTTCATCCACAGGAGTTGATCGCACGGGTATTTTCCTTTAGAAAACTTCACTCCAGGGTCCAATGGGGCTGTTCCCTGAGGCGCTGCCACCTGGGGGGTGACGATGGACACAGAAGACTTGGCCCAGGTCTGAAAAGACCACCATGCTTCTGGGGTCTGTCGCACTCTGGTCTCTTCCATGCCCTATTCCTCACCTCGGATACAACAGGACAAAGGGTTGACACTGAGGAGAGGCCAGAAGAGTCTCACCAGACACAGCTGATGGCACATGGTAGGATCCACGAACAAAGGCTGCAAAACCTTCCTCTGCAGGGTCCAGGATAGCCTCAGGTAAACAGAATCTCCAGCAATGGGAATCGTCTTCCACTCATCATTCCCTGTGGTGAACCCTCTTGCCTTTCAAGACTCAACCCCTAAACGTTATTCCTAAGCCTCCCCTTGTCCTGGAGTGGAATGGCCCCCACTGTACCATGCACAGATGTCTATGGGAGCAGTGGCACTATTCCAGTGTTCTAATTGTTCTCTGGTCTCCTGCCCACTCATCACTGAGCTCCCTGAGGGCAGGGACCCCATCTTGTTCACTGGGGTACTAACCTGGTCTAGTCCAGTGCCTGGCATTAGCCGGCACTCTGTGACCGTGTGCTGACCGACAAGCTATAAGTATACAGTGCCATGCCCATAATGTTTGTTCATCAAGGCCTCTGGAATTCTCTAGTCCATATGCCACAAGTGTCTGCTTTCACTTCCACATCCTCTGGGAAGAGAAAAGAACTTGAAGCAGAGCCTGGAGCTCAGGAGTTGGAGAGCAGAGCTCCGGGCGGCCTGGTAGGTCAGGAGGAGGGAGATACAAGAGGAGGAAGAGGCACCCCACCTGTAAAACTAAAGCTCTCGTGCCTACCCACCGATTAGCTAATGAAATAATTTGCCCCTTGAAAACTGAAATAGCACCCATTCCCCTGCTCTGAAGCAAAAATTGTTTTTCTTTGTCTCCGTTATTTAAGGCCTCTGAAGATGCTGTTTCTGTGAGCACAGTAACTCTATGCTGATGATTTTCAGTGGAGTCATAGCTACCCTCCCAGCAGGTACACTCTCCAATTCTCTCGTTGTGCGTCATCTTCCTTTTGCCAACATGATGCTCTCCGTGCATGTTCCCTTCTGGTCTCCTCCAAACAGGCAACATTTAGCAAACAACAACAAATCTTTATCATTGGCTGCCCTAAATAAAGCCTAATTGGGAGTTTAACCTTCTAGGAATCTAGAAATGGTAGCTCATCTGCTATGCCATCTTCCCAAATGATACTTCCCATGAGTAGGGATGCTTTAACTCTGTACGTGCTCACACACACATACACACAGGTGTCCTATTAGCCAGAAAACCACCTGTGCTTGCGTGTAAGCAGCACTTCCTGTGTGCCCTAGGTGAGCTCTGCGTTATGGATTTGTCATTGCTTTGTGATGTAGGTGAAAGGACGATGGCCCCGAGTTCCTTATCATCGCCTTTCTCATCTCCTACAGAATGGAATGACTGTGGTGGAGGTTTTGTCATTCTCCTGGACTCACATCCTGTCTGCTGAATTATTCTCTGCCACTTTTACCACCAGACCTTGTCTGCCCACCCCACCCCCCCACCCCTGAGCTGGAACTAATTACCACAGACAATTTTAGGATTCTATATTCCTGTGTTCTTAAAAAAAAAAAAGAAAAAAGAAAAAAAAAAAACACAGTGCATGAAGAAAAACCCAATACTTCCATAGCTGAAAGAGTTATAGAGAAACCACAAAATTGCGTTGGTGCTGTGTAGCGTTATACATAACATATTTACATAAACTAAATTGGCACAGAAGAATCTGAGGTGACGGTATTATTCTGTAAGCTTGAAAGTGGACTTTAACAGCAAACATCTCCAACAGAAGGTACAGAAAATACAAAGGCACCAAACAGAATAAAAGGTTCACTACCTTAAGCTGTCAGTTGTACCTATGCATTATAATGGGCTGGGACAAACGCATCCATCTCTATCCCAGGCGGAAACACTACATCTCTTTCATGAGAAGCTATGACTGCCTGTGTAAAATGCTTGCACTAAAATTAAGTCTTCTATCTTCCAAATTTTCTCAATTATTAATACACCAGACAGCTGTAGTAGCTCTGGCAAAAATAGCAGCTAAGCTTTTCCAAAAGTCAAAGCAGCCATGAGATGTCTGCGTGGGGACTTTCCTATGCGAGGACGGGCTGCTCTCTGGATCACACAGAAAGAAACAAAATCTCCAGTGGAACAACAACAAAAGAGAAACTCGTTTCCGAATTTCACGTGAAAAATGACATCCCCTGCCCCCACCAGGCACACTCACTCCTCTTTATAGTAAGAAACTTTGCGTGTCTAGATAAAAAGTTGATGAAAAGGTCTATCTTGTCCACTCACTGGGATAACAAACAATTCAGAAAATTAAACAGTAAACCCAAGGAAGGCCAATCACTTCAGTGTGTTCTGGAATGACACTATCCAATTGTGTCTACTCAAAGGGAGGAGGGTGAGGTTAGAAAACAAGTTATGCCTTTTTCTTAGATTTCTGGAAGCAAATTAACGTCCAGGAGAAAAGGTTGTCCTTCAGTTGCCACCTTCATATTTTAAACAGGTATTAGCGTCATCTTAACAGTCTGATAATATACAATCTTTGTGGAAGTATTCATATTTGAAAAGCATTTCTAAAGGAAAAACTAAGCACTCAGATTGTGTCACAATTCAATGCTCCCTGAACTCAACAGTGATCATGAATTTTCATTCAAAGATTATGTGCAGGACATGCAACAAGAACAGAATAGATTTTTAAAGATTTTTTCAAGTTATAATATCAGAGCTTAAGCACATCACGCCAGAGAGAATGTCACTTGTCAAGGTTACGTCGTGAATGGTCTGGATGTGATTGGACATTTCACATTTCCTGTCACAGTTGTGATTTCACATCATTCTAACCTTTAAAGGCAATCAGACCACACGTCCCAATCTCTGATGGTTGTTATGATACCATCACTCCATTTGTGCCCCAGCACCACACACAAACAGAAATTGTTGTGGGTCTTTGAGGAAAAAGCAAGAGTCGTATCAGCCCAAGTTCTAAACAAGGGTATGTTTGCAGCAGTTCTGCATAACTTGTTTCTAAGAGCAAGGACCATTTTCGCTGTCTCACGACCTACGTAAAAATCACAGCCATCTTCGAATAAAAGCCAACAAATGTCAGAGAAGCAAACCACGGCTACTTGGAAATGGCTGTTAGTTCATTAATATAATCCCCCAGAGTAAAGCTTGTGGTGTGAATGTTTTCAAGATGGTCAATATCATTTAGAGGCAGGGCTTACTAACATCACACAAACACTCACTGCCCATGTACCACTTACCATTTGCGATCTGTTCTTTGGACAGCCATTGATGTCTTCAATCTTCTCATTTGCTGAAAAAAGAAACACAAGTCAGAAAAATAAATAATCATCACAGACACTTTGAGCAGTGATGTTCAGGACCCCTGAGGCCAAGAAAATCCTAAGGCCCATACTGGGGTTTGTCCAACCAACACAGGCATGTGAAATACTGAGACGCATCTAGCAAGCTTCAGGACTTACTCATCGAGCTGCCGCCCTCCAGGGACAGCTGGGGCAAGGTCGCTGTCATCTAAGGCAGAGACAACTGCATTGATGACAGTCTTGGAGTGATGGGGCATGGTGGAAATGTCTGGAGACTGGGAAACGGCCTGAGCTGTGACTGTGCTTTAGGCTCTTAAAAAGGCAACTGCAACTTGCCCACAAAAGATAGGGTGCTTCAGAGTGGATCCATCCAGCCACAACACAGCTCCTGGGGACAAAAGCCATAGATGACAGCATCTCACCCCATCTTTAGCCAGAAATGCTAAGATTGCTTTTGTTTGTCCTGATTCTATTCCCGAAGTGGTGGCCAATGGAAGAACAAGAGAGTGAGACTTTAAAAATGTCACATCCACGCTCATACAGTAAGTCCAGATTAGATCTAGAACACACACTATTGAAGTCAAAAGAGTACCTACCTACCTACTTAGGGAAGTGATAGAAAGAGGCTGTACTGAATAAGCTGGAAATCAAATAAATAACAGGGAAGAAAGGCCCAGCTTCCCATGGTGAATGTATTTCATCCTAAGTATGGAGGAATCCTTGCAAGACACAGCCCAAGACATCTGAGTTTGCAACTACAGTGCTACAAGAAAGGCAGTACGTGTAGTGGCTTGGAGGCGAAGATACCCCAGTTTGAAGCTCAGCTTTATAGCTTCTCAGCTGTGTGATCTTAGCCATGTAACACAACCTCTCTGGGCCACAGTTTCCTCATCTATAAAATGGAGCTAATACTACCTACTTCACAGGAGGAGCTGTGAGAAGAAGATTATATGATGCCAGTAAACTGCCTAGTGCAGTGCCTAGCACACAGTGAGTGTTCTATGTATGGTAGAGATCATTAATCCAATAATATATATTCTTATCATCTATGCAAAAATATATAAAATAAAATTTCCCTTTTTTTGATGTCTCCATCTAAGTTAAGCCCAGAAACTCAGCTAGGAGTTCACAGTAAAGAATTATGGACTTGCCTCCTCCGTGAAGCCTTTATGAGATTCCTCCCCAATCCCATGTCCCTTTACTGCATGCCCCCTCCCCTAGAAGGGTAAGTCCCACTAGGTCTCTTTGCTCTCCCAGCACCCCGGACTTGCCTCTACTTTGCTTTTAAGTAACATCTAATGCGTAACTCCTTTTCTTGTCTCCCCCAGCTACGCAGACATGTAGATTTTGTTTTTCACACTTGTATCCTTAGGGCTTGACAAGTGTTCGCAAAATTGCATTTAAAAAAAAAAAAAATATATATATATATATATATATATATCACATCAGATTTTAATGACTATGACACGTAAAACTTCCATGAAGAGAAAAGACATTGAAAAGTGTCTGAAAAGGATAAGACTCAAAGTGTCCCAGGACACTAAGGTTTTAGAACACCTGAAACTAAATATAGCTCACCGTTACCTCAATTGGGTTTTTTTCCTCTAGTGTTTCTATCTTAAGAAGTAAAAAATAAGAACGCAAGCTAGTGGCAGGAAATTATTTAAAAACCTAATTACTAGAGACAGCCTGGTTAGTATACATTCAGCCTGATCTATACCATCTTTAGAACTGGCCCAAAGTAATAGATATTCAGGCTTATGACCCACCTGGGAAGACCTCGGTCTTCAGAGAGCCAACTGAGTTTTCTCAGCTCTTAAGAACACTGGGATAGGCATTTTAGGAAGCTTCCTCCACCTGCTTTTCCCTACTCCCAATAGAGGAGCCATAAAGCCTTTAGAAAGCACGTGAAGGATGCCCAGTGAATGGGGTAACTCATGCATGTTTGTTCTTCAGTTCACCAGAAAATACAATTAGCCAGAATGTGTCACTAGCATGTCAACTCCACAAAAACAAGGATTTTCATCTGCTTTGTTTTCTACTATAACCTTAGAGCTTAGCACAGTGCCTGACACACAGTAGCCATTCAATATGTATTTGTTGAGGGGAACTAAGGAGTATTCTGAACATTCCAACGAATCAAAGTTTTACTGTCTATTTTGAGGCAGCTGCTCTTTCACTTGTATATATATCCAGGTATGTACTGAAGGTGGAAAGAAAGGAAGATCCTTGACAAATGGCACTCCTTCATACATGGGAAATGATGGCAGGCTTGCACTCTGACCTTGGATTTTGATACACAACACCGATACGGCTTTTGAGAATCAAGGCCACTCAAGGTATCTTCCAGTTGGATACTCATCAGGGCCAAAGTCATACGGCACTGGATTCTGACCAACACCCAGTTCATTAGTGCTCGTTAAAGTGAAGGATGGATAACTATGATCCTGAGAAGTCATTTTAAAGATTATTTATATACCTTCTGGATAAACAAAACCAAGGGATTTGGTCTAATTATCCCCTAATTCCTTTTCATGGTCTGTCACCTAAACCACAGTCAGGTGCTCCTTGAATTCATTAGGCTCCTATAAGCCTAACGCTGCCATCTTACAACATTCAAAATAAACCAGTGGGGTGAAGCCTATTCATGACCCTCTAAAGAAAACATGGGAAGAGATCAAATGACTCAGCCCCAACTCAAAATAAATGTTTAATAAAAATGCAAAAAAGTCTGGACCTCCTAGTTTCCAATTTCATGTAATTTAAATACTTCTCCTTCAACTTAAATTCTCAAGAATTTCTGTGGTTGTCATAAATACTTAGAGCAATAATAGCAGCTCCGATTCTGCTGGTTAGAAGGAAGAAGAGCTTGGTCCTCAGAGCTGAATTTATTAACTCGGGGTAGGGGGTCTTTGGCTACAGCCCCAGAGAAGATAACCAGAGAAGCAAAGGCATTTGTCCCCCAAAGTCTTCAACTGTGATTAAAACCGGCATCCTCAAGTGCCAATGGTAATTTATTCATTCCAGCAAATCTCTAATGTGGCGACCTGTCTGCACACAAGGTGACAAGTTAGTAACTGGAAAGCATCAGTGCACTTTGAGAAGAATGGGATCAAGCTCATCACTTCTCAAAAGACCTCCTCGGAAGGGTTCCAAGCATTTCAACAGCCCAAGCATCTATGCATGGCATCTATGCATGTGCAGGGCAGCTGGCAGCCCTACCAACGTCTAGCAAAATTGGCTGCCCTCACTGAAAGGCAGATGACTTACCCAAGGCCACGCCATGGTAGCAGGTCATCAACAGAAAGAACGTAGAGTCCTGCGTGTTGCCTGAATTTCCTGGTTGTGCTCAGGGGCAGCCCAAATGGTGGTGGAAAGTGAGCTGCTCTCATCCCCTCTCTGTCTTGGCTTCCTCCTTCTCGCCAAGCCTCCTTTGTTTATCCTGTTTCCCTCCCTCTCTCTCTCCTCTTTCCTCCCTGTCTCCCGCCCCTTCTCTCCTTCGCTCACTCCAACCCCTTCTGGCATCCTCCTGCGTGACAGCAATGTAGGCAGGAGCGGGGAGGCCTGTCTCTCCCTCTTGATTCATGCTGTTTATCCTGTCCTCGCAAACCTTTCTAATAACTCACGGACATGGCACCGTGATGGGCTGGCAGGCAACTGCCGGCTTCGGGCAGCTCATGACTCAAGAAGATAATCATACTAATAAGAGGCTGAACACAGACACCCAACCCTCAGTCACTAAGCAAGGGCACTAAGAGGCAGCAGCAAAAGGTCTATTTTCTGCCTAATGGGCAGAAGGCAATGACGGAAAAGCGTGGGCCCCAAGGTATGCCACTATCTGGTAAGACCAGCCCTAGGATGGATGGATTAAGAGATGGCTAGACCCTAGGGCCCATCTGGGCTAGATGGAGACTTAGGTAGGAGCAATGTCTGTGAAAAGCATCTAAGGTTTTCCTTCATGTTACACATCTTAGCTTTTAAAGGATTCCAACTCTCCATCATTAGAAATAGTAGAGGAGGGAGTAAGATTCCCAAGCTGAAAACTGACTCTTTGATCACTGGCCTTTGTTCTTTAGGTTAAAGCCCAGAATTCACTGCCCTGTACCTGGTAGCCTGGCCTTATTTTGCCTTGTTGATCCTCTGACTCTCTACCTTCCAGCCTTTCTATGCATTATTTCCTCCACCAGGAAAGCCCTCCCTGACCACTTTACCCAGCTAACTCCAAATTTGAGGTCTTGGCTTATAGATAAATTCCTTGAGGAAACGTTCCCTGATTCCTACCCTCCCAACCCAGCCCCCCAGCTCCCCAGTCATGGGTCAGGCCTCATAGCACACAGATCCTTAATCATTATGCACAACATTCCTCCCTCCCAGGCCTAGGAACAGGTTGTCCCTTCAAAGGACAATCTCCCTGACTGCAGGTTTTGATGGACCTTCATTTAGATGTGTTCTTTTGAACTATTTTGAAGTCACTTCAAACCTACAGAAAAGTTACAGGAACAGTACAGAGAATTCCCGTATAGCATCATCCGTTCTCATTCTCTCCCTCTCTCGCTCCCTCCCTCTTTCTCTCTATAGGTACACTTGTTAAAAAATTCTGAATCAGTTTAGTGTAGGCTACATAGATCATGTCCCTCACTCTTAGTGTGTATTTCCAAAGGACAGGGATATTATTTCATGGTACAATTTTAAAATTCTGAAAATTTAACATTACTGTAATTCCAATATTCCAATTTTGTCAACTGACTCAAAATTGTCCTTTGTAGCATTTTATGCCCCTGTGTGGGATCCAGTCCGGGATCATGCGGTACATTTAGTTGTCAGGTCTCTTTAATCTCTTTTCCTCTGGAACAATTTCTAAGCCTTTTATATCTTTCACAGCACTGACATTTTGGAACAATTCAGGCCAGTTTTTTTTAACAGAATGTTCCACAATTTGGGTTTGTCTGAGATTCCTCAGGATGGGTTTCAGGTTTTCCACCCCTGATTGCAATACAACACTAAGTGATGTTGCACTCTTTTCAAGGTACCACGTCAGGAAGCATGTGACACCCAGCTGCTGCTCACCAGTGATGTACTTTCGATCACCTGGTCATGATGCCTCATTCTCCCATGTGGTTACTATAGCTCCCTTTGCAGCTAATAAGCCATCAGTGGAGAGCCACTGTGAGACCATGTAAATAGCTGCTCTCCATCAAACTTTCTCCTCTAGATTTCAGCATCCATTGATGATTCTTGCCTTCACTAACCTTCACCATGCAACTCTTCTACATTTATCAGTCAGCATTCACCCGAACAGTTGCGTTCTCTCTTCTCCATTGACAGATCATCTATGTATGTATCTATCAATACAGATTTGTAGATTCCTATTTTATTCCACAGTTAAAATCCACAATGGTCCTCAATTATTTTGATGCTCTAGTTATCCCAGATTAGCTTGCTCTTTGTAGCCCTGGAGGGCAGAACTAGTACTTGTAGGGAGACACTACCAAGGAGGGGCAGATTTTGACTTAATGAAACAAGAGCTTTTAAAAAATTCTAACTCTCTGTCGTTAGAACTGGTTGAGGAGGTAGTAAGTTGCCCATCTGCTGACTACTTTTCATGGAAGCAATGCACACATCAGGTTGAGGCTTTTAAAAGGTCCCTTCCAAACCTTAGAGTTGTACCAGAATCCTGGAAAGGAGGAGGGTGTGACATACAGTTTAGAGGAGTGCTCAGAAGAATACTAAATACTGGTAAGGGAAAACATCTGGGCCACCTTTTGGAAACAATCCGAGCCAGGCTTAGGGAAGCAAGGGTTGCAGTGAATAAAATTCTCATCCCTAATCTCCTCAACTCTTCTTGAACATCACTGCATGCCAGGTACCATGTTAAATGCTGTGCATCTAGAAAGAAAGATGACTCACACCCAGGCCTGGAGAGACCCGGGCCCAATAGAGCAGTCAGTAGGATGACAGAGGAGGGTCCCTCCAGCTCTGCCTGGGGGAGCTAGGAAGTATCAGGGAGAAACTGACCTTTCAAGAATGAGTAGGAGCTCTCCAGCCAAAGAGCAACTGTAACCACTAGAATTCTGTCCAATACAAGATGGAGTCACTAGGACTCCAATTCTGGGAAAATCTTAAGGAGAACAGAGAGAGATACACCCACCCCCAACAAACATATGTGTGTGTGTATATATACACACACACATATGTATATATTAAAAACACGTACACATACAAATATATATTTTTACATTTTCCTTTTATAGGCACATGTGTGGGGGAAGCATGGAGGATAGCGGTTAATAGTTTAGCATCCTGGTCAGAGTGCTGTCCCCTCCCGCCACGCCCCGCCAACCAAGAGATCTGTGTTCACAAGACACTCTGAGATGAAATGTTCTGAACTGGCTGATGGACAGTCTAGGGAAGAAGTCACATAGGAGATGCCTATGTTTAGCTGCCGTCTCATCTCCCCGTATCCTGGGCCTCTGTTCTCCACACCCAGAGCAGAGGGTGTGAGCCTGGCACAGTCAGGTGTAGAGTTCCATGTGTTGACATCTGGCCTTACTTACTAGTGAGTCCCTGGGCAGAGGGAGCCTCTCCTGGAGGGCTGGGGGGGAAGCAGCTTGGTGGCCTGAGCGGCAGCCTGCATCAGTGGTACTAGCTTGAGCCTCTGAAATCACAGTCCAATAGTTCAGGCCCAGAAAGGTCACTGTCTAGGGAGGTTCGTCTCATCTCAATAGATTCAGGGAAGCATCCTCCTGAGCAATGATTAAAAACTGTGCTAGCTTACGTTTCCCTAGCACTATGCTTAGTGAATGTGCAATACACATGTTACCATTCACCTTTGCTGGGCCCTGGCAGACACAACTAATCGATCGTGACACTCTGACATCGATTCAGAGGCCTCTTCATCTTTCTACACATATCTTTCTAGGCAGTGGCCACCAAGTCGTATCCAGAAACGCCTTCCGGTATCCAAGCATATTTCATATCTGATACCTACCTTGTGCATTTCCCAAGACTGCCACAAGATCAGACAAAGCAGGCATGGCTGTGCCCATTTTAAAGACAGGGAAACAGAGGTGGCAGAGGCCATGTTCAGAGACCCATGTGGCAAAGAGCTGAGAGGGTCCTCTAGGAGCTGAGGGTGGCCTCCAACCAACAGTCAGGGAGAAATCAGGGCTCACACTCCTATAGCTGCAAGTAAATGAATTCTGCCAACAATCTGAGTAAGCCTGACCCCTTTCCCCAGATAAGGACTCAGGTCTGACCAACACCTTGACTGCAGCCTCGCAGAGGCACCCAGCTAAGCCATGCTTGCACTTCTGATGCACAGAAATAGTTAATGCATGTTGTGAGATAGTTAATAGATGTTGTTTTAAGCCATTAAGTTTGTGACACTTTGTTATACAGCAATAGCAAACTAATACAGGGAAGGAAGGACAAAGGAGAGAAGAGAAGGAGGACCAATGGAAGCTGGTCTTCAATCTTGGGACAGCAGGGAAGCATCTTTCTCTTTCAAAGTCCAAGATCTTCGCCTGAGGGCAACGTACCTATATTTTTAGGTACAGTCTCCACAGATGTGAGCAGAGCTAGAACCATACAAGGCTTCTTCTCACTTGAAGGATAAGCAACTTTTCCATAAGAACTCACGCCTGAGGGGCTGGGGCTTCTGTTCTTTTTTTCTGCCTTCTCTTTCGGCATGAGTCGGCCGCTGAAGCTGCCAGCGACAACCATCAGTCTAATGCCATCTAATTGGCCTCCCGCCTCCACGGTCTGCTCTGCGTTCTCAGGCAGGACCACTGGGGTGCTTCCCTTAAGACCCAAGGCAGAGCTGTGCCCAGCCTCCACCCACGTTCCTGCCCAGGGTGACTCCTCTCCTCCTGCACACAGCCAAGGCATTAAAAGCCCCACCGCTCCACTTCCCTTCCCCTAGTATGAAAAACAGAACCAGCCCTCTGCGGAGTTTGATCCTTTGATTTCTCAGACCCGATTAGAGTTCACAGGAATAAACCAGCCCCATATTGCCGTTTTTTTTTTTTTTTTAAATATTGCCAGAGTAATCCACAAAAAAGCACCATCGCAGGGGGGAAATGAGAGAGCCAGAAAGATGGTAGGAGGTAAGAAAGGGGACAGAGAGCCCCTCCCCAAACCACCAGCATTTCCCCCCAGCCAGGGCTAGTCTTTCTTCTCAGAGAATCAAGATGAGATTGCCACGTGGGTGACCTTATCAGGAAAAGCAAGCTGGTACCCCTCACTCCCCCGGCACAAGACAGAGTCAAAAAAAGTGTCATACATGTGATGACAGAAACACTGCATTTTTAAATGTCGGGGTTCCAAGTCCCTCGTGCCAGACCCGACCCCGTCTGGACTGGTCTCCACGGTAACTCATCCGCCCCTGACGTAAAATCTGCTCTTACCCACAACCTGGATAATCTGGGCCAGGAGGACGCCGTCCGTCACATCTTGCTGGAGATCCTTGATGAGACGTTTGTGGCCTGATTTGGCTAGATAGTGATTGGCCCAGTCCGTGTAGATCTGCAAAAAAGCAAACGGGCAACTTTAGGAACCCCGTCAGATTCCATCTGAGGCAGCTGCTGGGCTGGTATAGGAGCCACTGTCCCGCAGGCGAGCCGTCTGGGGCCAGCCAGCGCCATTAACATGCAGCGCATTGTGCCCATGGGGTATTCAGCTGGCCAGAGCCAGGCTTTCACCTATTGAGAGATCTGCCATAAAGGCTCAGGAGAAAGCTAAAGAAAGCTTCAAAACATGCCGAGGCCTGAATGGGACAGGGGACACGGAACTAAACAGTCTGCGCCAGACGGCTTTGAGAGGCGGCGGCTCTAAATGCAGGCGAGGTCTCCCCCGCCCCACTGCCCTACCCCGCCCCTTCCCATCTTTTTCTCTTTATTGAGAAAACGTATGGGGAGGTTACCACCCAACAGGCATCTTTTCACGGGCCATTTCAGGGAAAGGAGGGCTATTGAGTCAGCCGAGTTCTCAGGAGCCTGGGTCCCTTGTGAAGGAGCCAAGTACCAAAACACAGAGCGCTTCAATTACTCTCGTGTGAGCGGGGTTGTGAATGGCCTCACGATCATCTCAAATTTAATCAGTTTAACTTAAAAGCCTGGCATCCTTTTCACAGTTGGGATTCTCTGAACAACCCCCCCCCCCCCAGCAAATTCCAATATATTTAAACACAGCATTGGTGTGCACAGCACCTGAAAAGCAGAGGCTGGGTCATCACGGGATCAGGAAAGCAGACCCCCTTGGGGGACGGAGAGACCTGCCCCCTCCCAGTCACAGAATCATCGGCACAAAGAGTATTTGCTTCCAAAGAGCCAACAAACACAAGAAAACTCTCACCTAAAAACTTTCTCCCTGAATGACACAAGCCAAAAACAAAACTGAAAACCTCCTCGTCAATTCTGAGTGCTAAGTTTCACGCGTGGACTTGTGAGTTTGCGGGGGACATGCAGGTCCTATCTATCAGCACCTTTTTTTCCCCAGGAGGGATACAAACCCGCGCCTGCTCAAAAAGAGAAGTATCCCACCTCAGCTGGGCCGTGTTTGCAGGTGCAGTTCACATACTAATCCGTGTGATGTCTCCACCCAAAGGATGAAGGTGATCACTGTATCTCCACTATCAGGCCTGCTCCGAGATCTCGCGTGACTCACAGAGCGGTGGAAGCCCTGTCCTTGCCCCAGCTCTCGCTCTTCCCAACACTGTGCTCAGAGGAATCTCACACAGTGGGGTGCTGCCCTTCAAGGCCCCCGGAATGGGGACTGAGGGCCAGGGCCTGGACTTGCAAAATAGGCCCTTCGAGGGAGGCGGCACCTCTCACTGCTCCACCTGGGACCGTGAAGGCCTCATCCCAAGAGGGGCCAAGGCAGACGTGCACTTTCCACTTCATCAAGCGCTGAGAACAGACGACGCCTATCCAGCCCCCAGCCCCCAACGCGAAGCTTCCACTGCAGAGACCCACACCACAACACGGTTCTATTTCACACCTCGGACCATGGCATCTAATCCTTAAATCCATGTCACTTTCCTTCCTCATGACTCCCAAATTGTCAGATAGAAGCTCTAGTTCAGCAAGATCATTTTCAATTTCACAAGCACTGAGAAGGCTAAGGAAATCGAGCGCCATCTTGGTCATTACAATGGCCAATCTGAGAGATCATTCGATGAAATTGTTAAGAGGGAGAGAGAGAAAGGGAAAGACATTCAAGGGAAAAGAGAAAGACCTGGGTTCAAGTCCCAGCCCTGGAGGCTCCCCAGGGTGGGGATTTGGGTCCGTTTTGTTCAATTTCTCAACATGTATCTCTGGAGGAACGGGTGTATGACCTCAGGTGAGCTGTTTGACTCTCTGAGCCTAGGTTTTCTTATCTGTAAAATGGAATAAATACCATGTACTTGTCAGTTCTTATGAGGACTGAGTGATATAACATATTCGGGAAAAAGTGCCTTACGCAGAGTAGGAGCTTAACAACAACGAACACATACAGAGCCTAATACATGCCAGACACGGGTCCAGACACTTTACATGCATTAACTCATTTCATCCTCATTCTCTGTGCTAGATGTTATCATTGTATCTACTTTTCAGAGGAGAAAACTAAAGTGTACAGAGGTAAAGTAACTTATCTAAGATCACAGGGAAGTGGCAGTGCCAGGATGTGAACCCAGGTTGATTAACTCTAGAATCCCTTAGACACTCTCCAACACTGCTTCTCTGAATACAAATATAAATTATTCAATGCACTCACCCCCTCCATGACACCATCCTACTGACTCGGCTCATTCTCTGTTATGTTCTCACTGAAAGAATTGTTTAAAAATAAATAAAACCCCCAAACCTATCCACTGCTGTCTGAATGCCCTTTGGCAAGTCACTTGCCTTTTCCGGGCTTCAGTTTATCCAGCTGTAAAACGGGCACAGTAAGGTCTACTTCAGAAGGTGGTTGCGAAGACCCAGTGGTTGCGAAGCACCACCTGGAAGCCCCTGACCTGACCCACGTGGGGCTCAGGAAGCAGAGGCAGCAGGTGGTCAAGAGGAGGGCACTGGAGTCAGCAGACTGCTCTAAATCTTAGCTGCCACGCTGCCTATTACGTCTGTGTCCTTTGGCCTGGGTGTCCTCATTTACAAGAGGGGATAATAATACCAACATCATTGCACCATTATGAAGGTGAAACAAGTTCATACACATAAAGGACACAGAATGTGACACATGCTAAGTGTTCAGTAAATAAAAAGGATATTAGAAATTTGACTGCCAGCATTATAAAATGGGCCAGAACAAAACCAGCCACAGCCTCTACCCTGAACCTCCAGGACGCAAATGACTGGAAGACTCACTCCCCTTCTCTTTCACAACGTACAATTCCGAGAGTCTGGAGCACCCCCATCTGCAATCACAAACCACAGGAGACTGTGAAAGAAAAGCAGGCCAGAAACTGGCCAGGCTGGTACAGAGAGTGATACCAGGCTGGCATCTTCCCTCAACAGGAGATACACCGCAGTGATGTCTCAAGCCCTGGAGGGATCCTACCACCTGAGGGTCTGAGGGACCACGAGAACATCCCAAAGCTTCAAGCCACCTGCCCCACAACCATCAGCTGAGGTGAGAACAGGCCACGGACAAGGACACCGCTGAGTGGGAGGAGATACAGGCACCTCTGCTCATTCCCTCCCTAGGTGACTAAGGGTATTTTAAAATAGACGTATCCTCCCTAAAGCCAGCCCTCTCTGTGTCTACACAGTCCGGCAGGAAGCCAAGGTTAAGCAAGCTTCTGTCAACAAGTACAGGGGTAACCCTCTCCCACTCACCCACCAGCACACACAGTGCAGAGCCCTGGGGAGGCCACACAGGTATCTGGCATACCGGGGAGAACCTGGAAAGTTCTACAGTGGTCAGAAATGGCTCTGCCAAAGAACTGAACCTCTCTACTCCACGCTATTTAAGACAGAGCTCTTCTTCTCCCAACTCGAATCTACCTACATACCACAACCAACGTAATCTTCCAAGAGCACAGCTCTAGTCCTATCACCTGCTCACAGAATCATCAATGGCTCCCCACTGAATGAAAGGCAAACTTTTCACACCGCAGTTCAAGGCAGTCTTATCCATCCACTCTTCCCCAGCCAGCGTCGACCTCACAGGGGAGGCAGTGCGTGGGTAAGTGAAAAGCTTGGGCTTGGGAACTGATCAAGTCAAGGTGGCCCTTGGCATGTGAATTTCTTTTCACCTCTCTGTACCTCAGTTTTATCCTCCATAAAATGGGGATTATACCAAATAAATGATAAGGCAGGGAGGGACTGGCCAACTGTGACCCAGGCCAAACCCAAGGGACCACCTGTTTCTGTAAACAAAGTTCTGTGGGAGCCCAGTCACACCCATGTGTCATCTGTAGCTGCTTCCGGACCACAATGGCACAGCTGAGTAGTTGTGATAGAGGCTTCTGGCCCGCACAGCCTCACATATTTACTGTCCAGCTCTTTACAGAAGAAAGTGGACAGTCTGTGTCATAGGGACGGAATGACCTAATATGCCTACACATAGCAAGGGCTCAGTAATAATTACAATTACCCTCAGGAAAACTGGACCTCACACTTCCCCATCTCTGAACTCCTGCCACCCCACCCACCTGAGTGCCTCCACCTGGGGCCACCCCACAAAACTCCGATCCTACGCTGGTTCCTCCAGGAAGTCACCCTTCATTTCCACACCGCATCCCGAGCTGCACAGGAAGCAGAGAACCTGTTTGCTGGCACCACCTCCTCACTCCACCCCCAGATCGTGGCAGAGGTGGTGTCTCGTCCATCTCTGGGCCCAGACAGCGTCTCTCAAGGCGGGGGCACAGCAGGTGGTCAGTAAGTGGTTGCCGGCATTGAGCTGAATGGACAGAAAAAGGGCAAACCCTTGGGAAACTGATTGCATTGGAGACTTAACGTGAGCTCTCAGTGAATCCTCAAACCAGGATCTCAAGTCTCTTTATCGACTGAAAAGAGGAAGGAATAGAGAAAATAAATCACTCCAGAGTGCAAGCTCGTTAATCAGGACCCATCAAACAAGAATCATTGATTATCTGGAGTTTCCTCTCCCCAGCTCTCGACTTTGTGAAGAAGTGAGTCACAAGAAAATGCCGAGATTTATTTTAAGAAACACAGTTTTCCTGGGCCCTGCTACGCACTGACTTCAGCCCCATCCCTCTCACTCGCTGTTTCAGTAGCTCATGCAATGACTGCCATTCTTCCAAGGAGTACCTTTGGAAAATAAACTCACAATATCCTTAGTCATCGAAGTCATCGAAACTCACAATATCCTTAGTCATCGGGTTCAGGAAGTCAACAAATACGGAACATTGTGTTTTTGGAAGATTTTAAGCAAGGGCTAAGGCATGCAGGGCTTCCTCTGTAAGGCTCAGGCATTCAGAATCAACTTCTCCAGAGCCTCTCGTTCCGCAGAGCTCTAAAGACTTAGGGCTTCTGTTGCTTTTACGCTGGAGCCCTTGATCATCCTTGATCGGTGAACTT